AGTTTGGTGAGAGATCGCGTTTCAAGGAAACTGTAAAATTGGATTAATAACAAGCTGATTTTTTTTCTCGGGCAACCGTAGAAAAGCCCGAGTCTAAAAATGGAAGCCGTTTTAATTGGTCGCCAAAAGGGGAGTCATGGTCCCAGGCGTTCCTTGTGTAAACTGTGGAAACTGGGGATGAGAGTGCGACGACTTTTGTTATCGTGAGCTCGCTCTTCATAAACAACGTAACTTACAGAGTGCTATGGGTCTCTATTGGCAGACAAGGAGCTAAAGCATTCGATCGGATATTGCTGCGGTATCATCGCACAACATGTATAACAGAGGTATCAAAATTTATGCCCATCGCAACGTACAGGTGTATTACTGCGAGACTATTTCTAATGCCTTTCCTAACGAATTGTCATCGAAACTAAGAAAAGAATGATGTCGAGATTTTTAGCCGTTTCCGGACCCTCGAAATGTAAAATGGTCGAAGAATGGTCCTACCCCCAAATGCTTTACATAAAAGATATTCCTTTCCAGTGGTGGGAAAGGGACTTCTCGTCATTTTTTTTTTTTTTCTCTTATTGCGCGTGCAAAATAGCTCAGTAAAAAAAACGATCGAAATATTATTGAAATTTTGTTGGACTCTCCTAAATCCGAACTCTGCACATCAAAACACGCTTTTTAAAATGTTTATCGTTCTTGGAATTTTTCCTTTTTAGTGCAAGAAGAAGCACAGGACGTAGACGCTTATCAAAAATATTCATGACAGCAGACCAGAATGTCATCAAGTAAATATTGTTGTGTTCATTTTCTTTTGCCTGTCATTTTTTGTAAACAAACTCATATTTGAGTAAACAAAATAAAATTGTAGTGTCTGAATTTGGTTTCCACTCAGTTAGTGCTATGGTGGAACAGTGATACCACAGACCCTTATAACAGTGAAATGATACATTTTACTGTTGAAATAATCATTATAGGTATCAGTGATAAAAATGCAAACCAAAGCAAGGAAGTAATAGCTTGAAAATTTAAGAAAATATAGTTTTCAACTTTTTTCGGTGATATCTGACCACAGTTTGTTTTGTCTGACCAAGGTGGTGTCTTAGCAGGACCTACAGTACCTATATTTTGGTCACCCAATGTACTTTAAGAAAAAAACATTGCAGCTTATGATTAGCGATGCAAATCAGTTACATCAGTTTGCATGAAGTATAAACCCAAAAATAGAGAGAAAACAGATAATATTATAGCCTTGAAAGTTTGCATATTCTCTACAACAATGCCAGCAATCTCATAAAACTGTTCGCTGTGTTCAGGTTTAGAAATTAAGCGAAATCAATGACAAAATAGTTTCACATTTAGCTTTTAGGAACAAATACTTTAAAGAAGGCTTGAGGCATGTCCATTTGGCAGTTCTAGGCACTGTGCTCTCCAAAAACTCCAGTTCTTATTGGATCCATAATCCAAGGCCCCGAGTTTTCTTCAAAGGAATTAGCATCACTAATTAAAGCATCCAATTACGTAAATTTTGAGAAAGTTTGTTCGTCCTGTCCTAGGGTCACACAAGAAACTCGTAGCTCGTTTTTGGTTCAAACGACGTCTGGGATATGCACTTCTTCAAATCTACGTCCCTACTTTCATGCTTGTGGTCTTGTCTTGGTTTTCCTTCTGGATTCCTCAAGAATCTGTTCCAGCCCGTGTGGCGCTTGGAAGTACAACTGTGCTTTCCATTGTGACATTCACTGGCTCCTTCAGAAGCTCTCTCCCAAAGGTCTGTTATAAGCGATACCATAACGAGTAATCTCCCCCCTCATATCCACAGCAAAGATCTTGGTGAAATATTGGTTAAGCAACGATTAAAGCATGTAATTTTGAAATTTTGGCGTGCATAAATCCATACCATGACAAAATGAGCCAAAAAATGTACCGTAATATTCCCCTCTCTCTGCAACCCTTTCTCTCCATTAATACAAATCGAAGAGGAATCCTGGTGTGGCAAACTGCGTGTTTTTCCTTTCTTTTTGCAAACTGACTATGCGCATCGAATATTGTTATGTCATCGTTAGTCAGGCATCACTCAAAATTTTTAGCAAATCTCGTAATAGTACTTTCAGTTTATTGATTATAGCCGAGTTTCTTTGTAGTAAAGTGCACTTTTAATTGCTGATGGCGGTTATTCAACATTAAGAAAGAAAATCAGCCTTCCGTGATGAAATATGTATCAGTCCAGCCTATGGCTAAGGTTATACCTCTGATAAAAGGTCTTTTCCCAAA